TTGATCACTCATTCCATACTAGAGATTTGAGCTTCATTTTATTTATATACTTACTTTAGTTGTGAGCCTACAATTGTAAATCTATCTTGAGAGAGAGATCCAATCTTATATTTCATTTACATTCTTCATTACAAACCTGTAAGGGTTGGTGTGACCCAAAAGAAGCTTAGGAGAAGGGTGTTCTCTTAGCAAGAAAGAGAAGTAAGGGCTTGCTTCATGTGAAGGTTTGCTCTCCACCATAAATCTCCGTGTCATTGTTTGCAATTTCTTATCCCAATCTTTCTTGCATTTATGATTTGAATTATTATCTACTTTAATTGATTATTGCATAATTATTTATCTCTAGTTGAAATTGTAAATTTTTTTTTTCAAAAAAATTGGCCATTGACTCTATTCACCCCCCTCTAGAGTCAATTAGTGTCTAACAATATATATAAATATATATGTCCAAATACAACACGTGCCATCATAAATGTTTAATCTAAAGTAAGGCCTGAGTTGCATGGTTATGCAAATCGAGAATGCAATTAAGAAAATAAAAAATATAACGAATTTGAGAAAAAGTTATTTAGCGTGTGAGGGAAGAAAAGAATTGGAAGTGTTAAAGCAACTTAGGAGATGACTCATGAGTTGCTTTTATTCCAACAATTAACAATGCAAAGTTTAAATTCTGCTTGTTTGTTTCAGTAATATATAGTACTTGTATTATTTTTTGCCCTTTTCTTTTCTACCAAGAAGCTAATTCATGGGAAGCTAAAACAGAACAGTGTGCAGAAGAAAACAGAATAAAAATGATCAACAAAATTGGAAGAAAAAATTAATGGCTAGACACAATAATAAAATGAATACAATGTGTTGTTGGTCAGTTGGATTAGTCTTTAACTTTTTTGATTTTTGATCGACAAGATCCTTTGCTTGCTATCTCAAGTCTCTCATGGATACTTTGCTGGCTTCCTCAACTTTCGTATATGCTAACACTAGATTTAAATAACAGTTCTGAAAGAGATCATACACGTACGTAACCCAGCTCTAGCTGAACTGTGATATTTGGTACGTACTAGAGCGAATTAATTGGTTGGGCCTGAAAGAACTTGCACACCTTCAACCTTCCATCAATGGCTTCCTCAGACTCTGCCTCTAGTTCCGAAACAGGTACTCCGTATATATATAAAGTGGACTCTAATATCTATGTGGCTCCAAATATCACACACTTGTGCGTGTATAAAGTACGTAGCTAATTACTAGAATATTGTATATAATCATGCATTTCATAAGCAATTAATTAATAGGATGTACCAACTACAGAATCAAAATCAGTGTGCCCCAACTTATAATGCATGGGGTTTACTCTTTTCATTTAGTTAACTGAGCTTTAGTTTCTCATAGATATGCATTGTTTATAGGGCTAAGTGTTGAAAACATCCTGAAGTATACTCTTCCTTCCCAGTACTTTTACTCTTATTTTAAAAATGGTGTAATAAACACATTTAATCTTTTGATATTGTGCAAAATGGTCTGTCATAAATCTGACATAAATTAGTGTTATAATACCCATTTTGTCCTTTTAGTCTTCCCAAAACGCCCATGCAATCATCCTCTGCCGTCCGTGCTCGTCGTCTCCACCGCTGATCCATCTGCTTCACGTCGGAAATTTCAGTGTTCACCGTTGTTCAATCTGCCTCAAACCTGACCATGAGAACCACGTAAGGACCAAGGAAAGAAGAAAGCAGTAGAGAAAGACCCAGAGTAACAAAGTCTTTCAGAAGGTTGTGAGAGTGCTGTTTACTGCCTCGCAGAGTATTCATACAAATTGGTTATTGATCTTATTGAGCTCCTTGTGAATCGACAGGCCCTTGTTGATGCCTTGGATATGGTGCGGACCCAAATGAATTTCAAGAGGCTTTCTCTCACAGATATCAAGATTGACATCAAAAGGGTTCCAAACAAGAAGACTCTGATTGAGCCATGGAGGCTGTTGGTGAGCATCGAGTGTTTAAATTAACTTGCTCTTTTCCTGTTGTAATCAACAGGAAGAGGAGGCGGCGGCAGAGTCGAAGATATGATGGGGAAAATAGTATCCTTTTTTGTTTTTTGACAAAAAAAAAAGAAAAAAAATTATTTTTATATATTTTATAAAATTATTCAATAAGGGAAATTTAGTCGATATAAATTTCAAATGTGTCAAGGGTGTGATATGTACTATAAACATATTTCAGGTGTTTTCTACCCTTGACCCTTGTTTTTTCCTTCCAAATAATAATAATAATATTCAGTCAAGTTTTCCATCTGAATCCATATCCATCTAATGTGGGACAAACTCTTCCACTCTAACCATATATACCCAATTACTCTTTCATCCGAATATATATTCATCCGATATGAGACAAACTCCTTCACTCAAACTCACAACACCATCGTTGTGGGTCGAGTCATCCTACCTACCGGGATGGCAGACCCTCGGATGCTTTCGAGTTGGGTGCTTGGCGTGACACTGGATTAAGGATCGGGATCTGGTTATAATACCAACTATAATGGGTAAATACTTTACGATCCGACCCAAAACTTAAATTATTAGATAGAGCTAACACCCAATCCATATATAGCTAATCACTCTCCTATCTAAAATCGACATGTGGGACAAACCCCTCCTTGTTACACTAGACCACCACCAGGTTAATTAGAACCAACAAGGCCATATACACACAGCCACGCATGCTGATACCGATCTCATTAATGATCAATACAAGCATACAATTTAGGGTAAATTACACCTTTATAATTGAACAAATTAGACATGATTTATAGGAGTAACTTTTTACTCTTAGCTTGTCCGTGAAACAAATTTTATATAATAATGTATGAATTGCCTGTGAAAAGACTTTAATAGCCTTTTAAACTTTCGTAAAATTTTAAGAAAAATCATATAGAGTCATATGACCTTGAAGAATTTTGTTTGTTTGTTTGTTTTATTTTTATTTTTTGTGAAATTTTATATCTATATTTATACTATTATTTTTTAAAAAAAGAGTTACTACTTTTTAAAATAATCCCCGACTTGAATTACTTATATCTATATTTACTGCCTTTTAGAATAATCCCTACTTGAATTATCTATATATATATATATATATATATATATATACTATTATTAAAAATAATAAAAGTTACTGCTTTTTAGAATAATCCCCGCTTGAATTACTTATATCTATATTTACTGCCTTTTAGAATAATCCCTACTTTAATTATCTATATATATATATTTATATTTATACTATTATTAAAAATAATAAAAGTTACTGCTTTTTAGAATAATCCCCGACTTGAATTACTTATATCTATAAGAGTAATATACTTGTACCGATTTGTTGCAGTGAATTACTTAACGTTAACGGAATGTTATTGATTGATTATTTATGCACAATACATGCAAGTGGAGGGCCTACTTCTCTATTTATGCATAAATAGATTAATTAAAAGAAATAAGTCTTGTATCATTACTCGTATCAATATTTATTGCTTTTTAGAATAATCCCCAACTTGAATCTTATATCTATATTTATATTATTATTAAAAATAAAAAGAGTTATTACCTTTTAGAATAGTCCCGACTTGAATTACAGATTAATTAAAAGAAATAAGTCTTGCAAGTATCATTACTCGCATCAATATTTATTGCTTTTTAGAATAATTCCCAACTTGAATCTTATATCTATATTTATATTATTATTAAAAATAAAAAGAGTTATTACCTTTTAGAATAGTCCCGACTTGAATTACTTAATTTGGGATGAAATATTAAAATTTAATAAATAAATAAATTTAATTAAAATGGAAAATATATATAAAAATATAAATACTTTATTCTCTCACATCTTTTCTAATTTTATAAAAAAAGGTTATAAATAATTTCTTAGTTTCTCACTTATATTCTATAATTCAAATTTTATTTATATATAAAGAAAATAAAAATAATTTAATGTCTAATGAAAATAAATAATTAGTCTTTATATATATTCTTTTCCGCCGCCATTACCTACCGTCACCACCACCTTTCCACCGCCTATAGTTCCTTTGCGTCAGTTTGGTAGAGTGGAAATGGGAGGAAAGGGAAGGGAAGGTGATGGAGGGGGATTAAAAATTTGTGTTTGGCAAAAATTGTTGAAAGAAAATAGAAGGAAATGGAAGGGTTTGGAGGTTTAACTTGTGCCTTCAACAGTAAATTTCTTAACCTCCCAAAAATGAGAGGAAATGAAGGAAAAGGGAAAAAGAGACTTGGTGTGTGATTTCAGATGCCAATCTTGCCCTTGATATGGGTTTTGATTGAACTGGAACAGCGGGCGATGGAAACTGATATATATATATATATATATATATATATATGGAAGCTTGCGACAGGTATGGGTTTTGATTGAACTGGAATAGCCGGCGATGGAAACTGATATATATATATATATATATATATATATATATATATATATATATATATATGGAACCTTGCGAAAGATATAGGTTTTGATTTTCTAAATAATCTGAAATGATATACCATACGGGTTTTGAACTTTTGATTCTTGCAGAGAGAGAGAGAAAGAAAGAGAGAGTTGAGAACGAGAAGAGAGATGGGGGCGAGATTGGGGGAGGCTGAAATGATTTGCCTAATTTTTTTTTTTTCTTTTCTTGTGGCCCATCAGTATAGGAGAGTATATGTGTGTGTATATATAATAGAGATAGAAGCGAGATTAGGGAGGCTAAAATGATTTGCCCTAATTTAATTTTTTTATTATTATTTTTTCTTGTAGAGAATATATATATATTTATTTATTGAAATATAAAAAGATATACTAATTAATTTATTAAAATAATTCTTTATTTTTTCTTTCTTTTTTAAATATAATTATTATCTTTCCTTTTTTTTTTTCTTTCATTAAACAACCAAACATAATACTAAATTAAAATTATTATTCCCTTTCCTTTTCCTCGGGACAAATCTCATCACGGATGTTATCTTTCTCCTCCAAACCCACTCTACCAAACATACCCTTAGTTCTTCCTCTTCACTGCCACGAAGTCCTTGATTCCCTCTAATATGCACCCTCTGTAATCCGCCACCCAAGCCCTAATAAATTTTTTTCAATTTCAAATCCCCCAAATCGAATCCGTCACCACTGTCGACGACCACTTCTTTCACCGGGTGACGGCGACGATGCCTTCATTCTGTCTATCTCGATTAGTTCTCTCTCCACTCTCTGATCAAGCCATCGGTGCTGCGGTGGCAAACGATGGCGAGTTGAAAGCGAGGGAGGAAGCCACGGAGTGGGAGAAGGGAGAGAACGGTGGTGTGAAGAAGCCATATTTAGAGAAATTGGAAGGAGACGAATCAGCTGAGGTAGAGGAGTCAGGTCGGTGAGCTTGGCTCCGAATAGTTTATGATCTTCGGTGGAGATGTTCGATTATTTCTATATCTACAAGTACGAGCTTGTGAAGGATTTCGGATTTGGGAATTTCCGTGCGGCGAGGCTGATGAGGAACAAGGAAACGGAATACATTGTGAAATACATTGTGAAAGGCCATAAGGTTCTGGTAAATAGCTTTTTTTTAATCATCAAATTGCTCGATTTTTTTGTTTCCACATCAAATTTACTCAATTGATCCCTCTCTCTCTCTCTATATATATATTTTTGATAAGTCCCTCTCTCTCTCTCTATATATTCATTCATATGGTTGCTAATTGGTTCAATGATGGAAACCTCTTGTGCTTGAAGTTTATCCACGCTGTTATATATAGAATCAGACACAGGTCTGTATATATATATGAACATCAATTGGGTGCTATATATATGTATGTATGTATACACTCTGTTCTATCACTTCTTCGAAATATGTTATAGGTGTAGCTACGAATGGACTAAAATGAAATTAGGTCTTAATCTAAATGTGATGAGGTGACTTCATCAGATCCTTCTGTAGTGGTGGTGGAATTGGCAGGGAAGATGGATGGTGGAGAGGAGAGAGAATTGCGAAGAGGGAAAAGAGAGGTGAGATAAATGGATTAAGAGAGGAGATTGCAGTGTTGTAGGAAGGAGAAGAGGGGTGCTCATGAAAGTGGCAGTGGCGTGAATGGTCGAAGGAGAGGGAGAATGCAGAAAGAGGGTGGAGAGAGAAGAGGGGCATGAAAAATTTGGCAATAGTTACTGGGAGGTTTGTCTTAGAAAGGCCAAACGGCCTACTTCTGTATAATTTGCCCAAACCTTAGGAGAGGTGAGTGCAACTTACCCTATAATATATTACAAGCTAGCTAGCTACATACCATGCATGAACTACTAGTAGTACTTCATCACATGCATGCATACATCCATGCAGAAACAGTAGTGCTATGTACTTAATTAGCTAGCTACCATGCAATTAATTTAAGTTAAAGTATATGTATCTAATTGATTGATGATATATATGGCAGAGGGAAACAGAAAATGTACATATATATATATATCTAATTGATTGATAATATATATATTGCAGAGGGAAACAGAGAAAGTACATTTGAGAAAAATCTTCTAAGCGCATACCGGCCATTGTACGTAGCAGCATTGACAGGTGATTGGGAGAGCGCCAAAGAATTCTTGAAAAGAGAACCAGATGCAGTGAGGGCAAGGATCACCAACAACAAGCATACAGCACTGATGGTGGCGGTTAGGTCTGCACAGGGGAACCATTTTGTGAAGAACCTGTTGGAGCTCATGTCACCTGAAGATGTGGCTATAAGCTCCGCCTTTGGAAAGTCCACAGCTCTGCACTATGCTGCAAGAGCGGGTAACATTGAGGCAGCCATGTGGTTAGTGAACAAGAACCCGCGTTCGCTTTACCTTTGCAACATTGACCGACGTGTACCTCTCGAAGAAGCTGTCATGTTCCGCCGGAGGAATTTGATTCTCTACTTATTGGAGGTGACTATTAAATATATCAACATCAAAACTGATGGAAACTTTCCTATCGATCTTCAAGTCATGATAGCTGGTGATCAATTTGGTGAGTAACTAATATTTTATTTGCAAATGATTTTGTGCTTTTACGTATACTTGAGTAGAATAAATGCTTTAATAGTCATTTTAAATCACTTCACGTTGTTGGATTAAAAGAAGGTTATGCATTATTGATCTAAAAGCCTAATTTATTAAAAAGAATGCGACTTTAATATAAGTCGATAGGTTGGTTCTTAATCCCACTTTTTCTTATCAAAAAAAAAAAAGTCGATAGGTTGGTTCTTAAAGGCATCAACTTATTACCATTACTCAAGGGCACGGGTTCACCTAAGTCGATTTTTAAAGCCGATCAACTGAACATATATATATATATATATATATATATATATATATATTTTAAATTATAAATTTAGTGCTTTATTACAGACATTGCTCTGTCGTTGGTTCAGCGCCACCACGAGTGGGCAAGGATGGCTCCCAACTGGTCACCGAGAGAGCTCTCTTCAGCATTGCATTTAACCATTCTGAAGCCTTATGCATTCCGAAGCGGAACACACTTGAATTGGTGGCAACGCTTAATTTACTCCTGTAAGTCCAATCAAAACTAGTACTTTCTTCTTTCTCCCCAAAAAATTCCAGAAGCACAACTAGAAAAAATAATCATGATTCTTGATTCTGCTTACACAATTTTGAGTCTGTTGTTTGTCATATGTTGATGGTGTCAGCTAGCTAGCACGAAGCAATTCAATCACTCTTACAAAGCTAGAAAATTAAATTAGAGCAATGCTAGCTTTGATGACATTGTCACAACTGATTAAGAGAGAGAGGGGTGAGTCGTGTCTCTCTCAATCAGTTGTGGCAGTGTTGATATTATATTGTTTTTCTGTAAATTATCCTAGACTGTCACTTGTTCAACATCACTCTTACAAGGCAATTTAATCACATATCTGTATAAGGACATTTTTACTAACATATTCTTTTCTCACCTAGACGTTCCTATGAAGTTGGAAGACTTTGCATACCATTCTACCCATCAAGGAGATATCGAGAATCCTGTCGACAGCTTCATTCCTGGTATGTTAAAGTTTTTCTTTATTGATTTTTATTTTGATTTTTTTACTTTATTTTCTTGATTAATGGTAAGACTTGATTTTGAATTTTATCCCTCCTTTTTAGATGTCATTTACCTTGCGCTTGGGAATTAGCATTAAATTTAAAATTAGAGAAATTTTAGTTTAAAACCCGAATTCCGTGCTTTCTAACATAGCCCAAGATTTGGAATTGGACTGAAAAACATGATTGAGTGTCAGAGCCTGCCCTTGGATGGGCTTGATCTAGTCGGCCCATAGCATGGGGCAGGTCTAGATTTTCAGGCCTGACCAATTTTTGGACTTGGGTTGCATGTTGAAATAAAAGCCCAACTCAGTTAAAATCCATTCATTTTGTATTATTTCGTATTTTATATGGTAGGAAAATTAATTTATAGTAACATATATACACACAACATCATAACAACATTACACAAACAAATAAACTGTAACAAATATAATATTTTCAGCCCAAACATGTAACCACTACTTGAAAAGGATGGTGGAGTTACGGGTTGTATTGTTCTTACCATTGGTCTAGCAAAAAAAGTAAAAAGATAAAAAGTAACATGAATTTGCTATCTTGTTGATCTTTGTAACTTCACTCCTGATTTATTTATTTATTTATTTTTTTCAGTGAAGCAAAAGTTGTATAATGTATTTTGGAAAGTCACTCAAATGTTAGGTATGGGACGAGTAAATTGCTACTCCAAGTATATGCATATATATATATATATATATATATATTCTTTTTCTATCTGCATCTTAAAAGTTCTTTTGAATTAAAGTGCCAGAGATAAAGTACTGGCAAGAGCTAAAAGGGAAACATTATCAAGTACTTGAGCTTGTCAAACATCTTTGCAACGATGTCGCGAAGTTAAATTACTCGGAAGCTGAAGAGACAATCAGGATACCTTTAATAAAAGCAGCAAGTGTTGGGATCCCTGAAGTTGTTGAAGTGATTTTTACAGTATTTCCTGATGCAATAGCTAACATTGAAACGGACATGGGACAAAATGTATTCCAAGTTGCTATTGTGAATCGTTGTGAAAGCGTATTCAACCTCATCTACCAATTTCGAGAGGAGGCAAGGGAAACAATTTTATCGTATGCAGACAAAAACCTTCGCACTTGTCTTGATTTAGCAGCATGTTTAGAGAGTGAACAAAAACTCTATCTAAGAGCTCATGCAGCTGGTGCAGCTCTACAGATGCAACGCGAATTGCAATGGTTTAAGGTAATCATTTGCTTTTAAATAACAGATTTATTTATATTTCATAGTCATCTTTAAGTTAATTTGATTAAAGGTGTTTAAGAATGAATTCACTGCACTGGTAATGCATATAAGAGAATTTTATTTTCGACAAGTTTTTGAGCATATACACAAAAGATGACTGTATTCAAATAGTAATGGGTGAAAAAGTCACGCAACACAAAAATAAATTTATATTTGAAAAGTTTAATCCAAAAAAATTCTTATGGGACAACTTTCACTGTTCATTTTCCACACTTATGTCAAAATTACCCCTACGTTTTTAGGCTATTACCCAACTACCTCTTTCCCTCTCTATTTCTATCACTCTTATTACAGTGCACATACTCTCCAGCGAGACTCAGTCTGACTACCAACCAGTCATTGTGTCATCTTTTTCTTCTTTCACTGAACCATTCAACCCGCCTAGTTCGACAACCCACCCAGCTTGACACCATTCCGACCTGTAAACTATTGATAAATAATAAGGAACCACAAATCCATAATGCAGAACAATGAGGCATCAGCATGCCGCTTGTGGTACCATACCAACATATCCAACACACATATATATTGATTCTCCTTCTTCACATCCACATATCAGAGTTCAAGAATTCTAAATTTAACTTCGTGTTCTTAAAATCCATGTGTTAAGGGATTCAAAATCATTACATTGAATTGAAAATTTTGATCGTGTTTTAGATATGTATGTGTGTGTGTATATATATATATATATATGCATATATACGAGTGTGCTTATAGATTCAAGTGACGTGCAGAAAAGATTCCACTAGCAGTATAAGCGGATTGGTGCTGGTGGACCTGAATGTTTACGATCTAACCTCTATTAATGGCTACGGCATAGTAGCTCGGTCTTAGGGTCTACCTCTCTGGTGTTCAATGTCAGACCCTCCATTCCTTGTCATCGTCGGGCCACCTCGTCCACCATCACCGCCCTTCCTCTACCTCACTTGCATCGGAACCCTCAACAACTTCTTCTCACAATTTTTGCTATCGCAAACCATCTTTTATTTTTATTTTTTCGCATCGTAAACAAACAAAAAGCATAAATGGGAAAAACATTTACATATATAATGTATATATACATATATATATATATATATTTAAAAGCAACCCTACAGGGTAATATATTGACTACAATATAAACGATCCTTTTACATTACCTTATGGTCACTGCTAACAAAAACTCCAAACCCAAACGAGTCGGAACAGTCTAAGAAAGACTCTGGTTATGGCTCATACAATGTGGTGATTGATGAACTAGAGGAAAGCGGTGAAGGGGTTCTTGACCCACATTAGCTTATTTATAAAATCACGACCGAACTGATACACTAAAGTACAATCTGAATTGTACAGATCAAATGGGATCGGATTGAATTCACAGATTAAATGGATACCCTTATAAATTTGTAGTGAACTCAAGCAACGCCTTGACAACTCAATCTGATTTATTGAAGTTTTCACACTTTTTTTTTTTTTTTTTTCTTTTCTCTCTTGCTGAGGTCCCATACGTGGTGGGCTCAATCCTTATATACTACAGGACAATGCTTGGATCAACTTTATCCGCTAGCTGAGTTGGTCTAATAAAAATCTAACAGATTTCATATAATTATATAATATTAAAAAAAAATAAAAATAAATCAAACCCGCTTTTATAACGGGTTAATTGGCCTACATATTTCTCATTCTGTAATGCAAACAACCCTGCCTGAAACGGACCTCCCTCATCACGCACAACCTCCATAATACCTCTGACATTTGCAGCTGCCACCACCGTATCTCTGCTGTCCGTAGCATAACCCTAAAATAACACATCCGAAATCTTTATCAAAGTCGTGATATCTGCGGGAGACCTTTCTACCTTAACATGCACTCCACCTCTCCGATGGATTCTAGGGTCTTTGATGCTATGCTCCCCTTGTATGTACTTGAATGCTACTTTGGGCAAGGGTGAGTGGTTTGGACTGTCAGAGCTTCTCACCAGGAGAAAAACGTGGCGTAATAACAGATTTCTCCTCTGCAATGTCTGTTGGAGTTTCGGTAGGTTCTGGTGGAGGTGAGGATGCTGACAAACCGGATTCTACCTTATTAGGTTTCTCTAATTCGGTCATTTCTTCTCTTAATTTGGTGGAACTATAACAAGAATTCACCAAATTTAACACATAAATTAAAGATGATTCAAACAGAGGGAGAGAATTGTAGCTGAAGGAAATAGTTGGAGGAAGTTAATTGTCGTTGGATAGACTAAATGCATGTGATTAGGTATCCATCAACGATGGAGACATATAGTTATTTGCATGACTTATATTAATGTTATGGAGTATTAATTTTCAAACCCAACTCATCTTTAACTTAACAGATTTCTTGTTTGTTGTTTGAGTTTTGGGTTTGAGATAGTTTGGTGGGTGTTGTGGTAATGAGTGGCAGAGGAAGAGATGGTGAAAGGATGGTGGCGTTGGGTGATGGAGGGGTGGAAGATGACGGTGGTTGGATTAGGGTTAGGGAATTTTGGAAGTGGAAGCACAATTATTTAAACGGGCATGGAGATTGAGACAGGTAACCCGTTAAAAATGAGTTTAATCCATTTTTGACTTTAGAACAGGTATCAAATTTTTATTAGACCACCTCTAGCACGATAAGTTTGTCCTCCTATGGAAGGACTCAAGCATTATTATCCTATGAGAAATGATAAAAATCATGAATGATTTTCATGATATATTATCATGAATGATATGGCATGTGAGTTGGCAGCCAATTGTAACTTAAAAAGTAAAATTTTCAGAGATAAAATAAGAGAGAATAAAAACTCTAAAACAAAGTAAGTAATAACATGTTGAAATGATAGAAGAAGCCTAATGTTAGGAATTTTCTTTTTATTTTTTATTTTTCATTCTATCATCGCGAAATGATAGAATAACCTCGACCTCAGCGGTCAGAGGAGCTTGTCCGATCTTAACTCACCCTGGTCCCCCATCCCCCCACCCCCCAAAAAAAAGCTTTTTACTTTTGTTTCTTTTAAAATAAAAGAAAATTCTAGATTTCCTTTACATCACCCTGCCATTGGACTTGACTTATTGTATGATCAACTTTGCTTTCTAACACAGTCATCCAATTACATGCAGGAAGTAGAAAAATTTTCAATTTTTCATGGAACGAGGGAGCTAAGTAGAAATAAGACACCTGCAATGATATTTACCGAGACACATGAAGAGTTGGTGAAAGAAGGAGAAAAATGGATAAAAGATACAGCAAACTCATGCACAATTGTAGCAGCTCTCGTTGCTACTATGGTTTTTGCTGCTGCCATTACAGTACCGGGTGGAAATGATGACAAAAGCGGCCTTCCAATTCTCTTTAAAGACAGAGCCTTCATCATCTTTATTATATCAGATGCACTTGCTCTTTTTTCATCTACTTCTTCTGTGTTATTGTTTTTGTCCATCCTCACTTCACGTTATGCAGAAATTGATTTTCTCTATACCTTACCCAAGAGATTAGTTATTGGTCTTGTTACCCTATTTTTCTCCACGATATCCATGATGGTCGCCTTTAGCACCACACTCTACCTAGTCCTTGGATATGAGAAAGCATGGATCATCGTTCCAGTGACTGCATTTTCCTGCATACCAGTGACCTTGTTTGCATCCTTGCAATTTCCTCTACTTTTGGATATGGTTAATTCTACCTGTGGCCCCAGTATTTTCGGTAAGCAAAGTGATCGTATCCTTTACTAAACCAAATAGACAAGGGAGGAAGTCTAACAAATTATTTATCGTTTGTTAATTTGTATTATTAAGAAATTATATGTGATTAAATTAATTGACATTTTAAGCTGTGGGTTCTGGAGTTTTCACTTCGTGAAATACTGAATTTTGAATAATGCCTTTTGTTATTATGAATCAATATTTGTAATGTCGTTTATGTTTTTCATAAAAGTTAGGGACATACTTTTTCTGGAATAATAATTTTAGGCTCTCTTTGGTTTGGTCGATCACACTTTTGAACTCCTTGGTGTGATAATTTATGGTTAAGAGACATAATGACCCTTTTTTCTTTACGACAAAAAATTTGAGTAACAAGCCAAAAATAAGTCTGGATTTGGATCTAAAAACCTTGAATACAAGTTAATAAACAGTGGAAATTTAGAATATACGAATTCAATTGTCATTTAAAATATATTCGATTATGTTGTTTGGAGTTTGGACATGAATCATGATAGAAATTGTCAATTGTCAAAAAAACAATCATACAACGGTATATGCGGAGAGAGATTATTATTCTGATTGTATTTGTAACAGGGTAGCACCAAATGATTGTAAAACAGTTTTATGTCGGAAGCTATATTTGGTTGTACTTTTATTAATGTGACATTTTTATTTATGTCACAACATACATTTGGTTGTACTTTTATTAATGTGTGGCAAGATATCATTGGTTGACAATAAACGCAAAGGAAAGAAGAAAGTTTCAATCAAAAAACCTGCTAGCCCTCAGAACGGAAGCCTTCTCCCTAGTGGCAGCTTCTTTAATACCATCGAATGGTATCAATAGCCATCTGGAATGCAAGGGGTCTAAATGATTCCCTAACGCAAGCTGAAGTTAAGAAACTTCTTCGAGATCGGAGGGTGGACATTGCTACCATCATTGAGACTAAAATCCAGTCAATCAACATTGATGTGGTGCATAGGGCTATTGTAGGAAATTGGAACCTTGCACACAATTATCAGTTCTCACAATTGGGTAGGATTTGGGTCCTATGGAACCCCAATTCAGTTAATTTACAAGTATTACAGTGCTCCAGTCAGGCAATGCATTGCTTTGAAACCATTCTCTACTGCAGAACTACCTTTTATGCATCCTTTGTGTATGGAGCAAATGAGGCTAATCATAGAGTGAATCTTTGGAATGATATTGAAAAACATTCTTCTACACAGTCAAACTCACCATGGATTATTAGGGGGAGACTTCAATGTCATTAAATCTACTGCTGAAAACTCAGGAGGTTCAAGGAAAACCACAAAGGCCATGTTGGAATTCAGAAAATGCCTTCATCAAGCCAATCTTGATGACCTTAACTTCTCTGGGATGTACCACTCTTGGACAAACAAGAGTCCTGGTGTGTCAAATATTTCAAAGAAGCTTGATAGGGTCTTGATTAATGACTCTTGGACCCAAACTTTTCCTTTTTCTCACTGTACTTTCCTCCCACAAGGCATCTCAGACCATTCTTCTATGATTACAAAGCTTGGTAACCCAAGACCAACGAGGAAAATTCCATTTAGAATTTTCAATTGCTGGGCTGATAGTGATGAGTTTCTATCCCTTGTTCACTCACTCTAGATTAAACCTGTGGATGGCTGCACCATGTATCAAGTGATCACAAAACTTAAATCCCTCAAACAACCCCTTAACAAAACCTTCTCCAAGGAATTTAGGACAATCAAGATCGAAGTTCAAAATGCAAAGGACTTCCTGGATAAATGCCAACTTGCTTTTGATGCAAAACTTGATGACAACACACTGAGACTTCAAGAGAAGCAACTGAGCTCCAACTACACCAAACTTTGTGCAGCTGAAGAGAAGTCCTACAGGTAGAAATCTAGAATCCAATGGCTCAAAGAGGGTGATTCCAATTCACCTTCCTTCTTTAAATCAATTGCTTCCAGGCAAAACAGAAATAAGATCACAACCCTCACATCTTCATCTGGAGCACTGTTGGACACTGAGAATTCAATCAAAGCTGAACTCATCAACCATTTCACAATAGTATTGGGAATGAATCCTCATCCCTATCTAGGTATGGAGCAGCTATCCCCATTCATTCAACCAACTCTACCATCACAATTTCTCTCATCCCTCTGTTCTATTCCTTCTGATGAGGAAATTAGACAGTGGATGTTCTCATTGAACGGTGACAAGGCTCCTGGGCCTGATGGCTTTAATGCCCTATTCTTCAAGAAAAGTTGGCCAATCATTGGCCATGATGTCACCAAATCAATCAAGGATTTTTTTCACTAATGGAAAAATTCTCAAAGAAATCAACACAACTTATATTGCATTGGTCCCAAAATCATCCAATCCCTCTAGTCCAAATGACTTCAGGCCTATCTCATGTTGTTCAACATTAAACAATTGCATATCCACTCTCCTTGCTAACAAGCTCAAACCCACATTGCCTTACATCATTGGACCTGCACAGTCAGCCTTCATTCAAGGTAGACACATTGATGACTCCATTCTTCTTGCACAAGAACTTCTCAATGGTTACCACAAATATGCTAGTTCACCAAGATGTGCCATTAAGATTGATATTAAAAAAGCCTTTGATATTGTGTGCTAGGAATTTCTCTTTGACTCTCTTAAACTGTTAGGGTTCCCCCCTCCCTTCCAGATATGGATTAAATCATGTGTCTCTACCTCCTCCTTCTCAATATCAATCAATGGTGAACTATGTGGCCACTTCAGAAGTATTAAAGGCCTGAGACAGGGAGATCCCCTCTCACCCTTCCTTTTCACAATTGTTATGCAATGCTTTTCCTCAATTGTATCCAAACTTACCTCCGAAATGACCTTCAAATATCATTGGAGGTGTAAGGAATTAGGACTGTCCCACCTCATCTTTGCAGATGATCTCATGTTATTTTCACATGGCAATATCCCATCCTTGCACACATTTTTAACTGCCATTGAGAAATTCCATACTTTGTCTGGTCTTCAAATAAACCACTGCAAGAGTCATGTTTTCTTATCTGTTGTAACCTCTCAAATAGAGATTGCCATCCTTGATTTTCTAGGATTTGAAAAAGGAACCCTTCCTGTGAGGTACTTTGGAGTACCATTGGTTACTACTATGCTTAAAGCAAATGACTGCAGAACCTTAATTGATAAGATTACATCTAGAATTGCACATTGGATAAGGAAAAATCTTTCCCTTGCAGGAAGATTACAACTTATTAAGTATATATGAACCTGAAAAAATCTTTCCTATTCTCAACTCAGATGTACTGGAGCTCTAAATTCATTTTACCAATGAGCATTATATATGAACCTGAAAGTATCTTTGGTGCTTTCTTGTGGTTTGGTCTAATACTGAAAAAGACATGTGCTAAAGTTGCTTGGAACAAATGCTGCCTTCTTAAAGGGGCTGGGGGACTTGGTTTACCAAATTTGCATACATGGAATGAGAGTGCTATTATGACACATTTTTGGCACATTTAAAGCTCAAAGGATATGCTATGTGTCAAATGGATTCACACCTATCGTCTTAAAGGTAGAAGTATTTGGGATGTCAAAGTTTCAGGTCAGTGTTCATGGAGTTGGAGAAAACTTCTTGGCCTCAGAGATACAATATACCCCCTTGTCAAGCTAGAAATTGGTGATGGAACCTCAGCCAATTTCTGGTTTGACAACTGGAGTTCTCTTGGGCCACTTCACTACCTTGTTCAACCACAACAAAGAGCAGAAATGGAGTTTGGTAACATGACAAAAGTCAGCTCATTTATCACCTCCAACACATGGTCTTTCCCTACAACCATCCTCAACCACCTACCACAGCTGCAAAACATTGGCTCATTACCTAACCCTAATCCTAACATTAAAGATAAATTCATTTGGCTCCCCTCCAATTCCAGTCAGTTCTCTATCTCAAAAACAATGAAACACTTCAACCAACAACACCCTACCTTACCTTGGCTGCATCTGGTCTGGTCCAAACCATCTATTCTAAAACACTCGTTTACACTTTGGGTTGCCATACAACATAAACTGCCAACACTCAACAGAAGGTGCGCATCACACATCAACTCATCATTAATTGTGTACTATTTGTAACACTGAAGGTGAATCACATGATCATCTATTCTTCTCTTGTGCATTTGTCAAACCTTTGTGGAGCTTTTTACAAGCAAGACGTGGGTTCTACATTTAACTATCCTCTTGGGCAGAATTTATTGTTTGGGCATCGCACCATTGGAGGGGGAATTCAGAAATCCATAGCAATGCAATATCCAAAATGGGGACTAACAGCCATTGTCTACCATATCTGGAAGAGAGGAATAACAGAATCTTCAAAAAGACAACACTCATTGCCAACTCAGTCCTCAACCTATTCTTGGAGACAATTTGAGCAAAGCTACTCTCCTCTATAATCACTGATTCCTTCCACACCACCAGAATTGCTTTGGAATGGAACCTACCTTAATCAGTGATTCGTCCACCTGCAAAACCACCTAACTAGAGGAGTTGAATCTCTTTCACCACTACTGGAAATTAGCTCCTTGATCATCGGATTGTTGTGTTGATCTTCAATATCACACATTATTGTTGTTGGGCTGCTTTATATGTCTACAATGTTGTATCTTTCCCATTGGGCCTTTTTGGGCTGTACCTGTATAGTTTTATTTAGTTAGCATTGGGCTAACTATTGGGCTGTACTTTTTCTCAATTTTGAATGTTAAATTTAACTTTTAGAAAAAGAAGATATAATTGGTTGATGACATAAATAACTTCATATTAGGGTCTCGGTAATATAATTGAAATCTTAGACCAAATATATATATATATATAAATGACAATTTAATATATAATAAGTTACGACCTCTATGAGCGGGTATAACTGGGCGAGTTACCACACGACTAGTTTTAAAGTTGTGATGACCGTGAGCCCATCAGAACTCCGTAGTTAAACATGTTTATAGTGGAGTAGTATATATTAATATTAAAATAATATTTAATAATGTTTATTTAAAAATCATCATTCTTGTATACAAATTTGTCATAACATATTTTTATTATTATTTTTTAATTTTTTATTTATTTTATAGTTTAACAAATTTATCAAGGGCTCTTTTTTAAGATGAATTAGTTTGTTTCTCTCTCTCCCTCTCTTTTAGTTTTTATATATTGATCCATATTTTTCTGTAGACATATTAAATAATAGAAAAAAAGGGTACAAATAAAAATATACAATTTTATGATACCAAAAATAATAAGATT